AAATCATATTCTTTCATTTTTAAGAAATCTTGATCAAATGTTGAAATGCACGACATTTCTTTCCCAACAGGATTAAGATAAATTTTTGTTTTAAGAATATGATTTCCATGGGAGTATTCATTCTTATCTTTTGTTACTTCAAAAATCATCCAAAGCTACTTGTCACTGACTATACTGGTCAAACAAGTAAGTTCTGTTACAATTACTCACATTTATGTTAAGTGTTGATATGTAACGAAATTTAAAACCACCCATGAAGCTTATTCAAAAGAAGCCCTTCGATACTTCTTTACAAGTATTCGATTGTAATTCATGGGAAACCACACAAGCAGTTGATCATCTCTCTTGATGATTAATGAAGTAACCTTTACCTAGGGTTTAACTGCCTTTATGTCGAAAAATCAATTTTTCAACATCACAAATCCAACATTTTTCGATTGTTTACTTCTTATCTCAATTTTTTGGCACACTGCACTCACAAAATCCTTGAGGTTTTGAGTATTACCAACTCAGGCTAATGATTCCAACAGTCTGGCATATGACTTCTCTTTTCATCCTAAAAGTGAAAGAGCCTTACTTCCATATCGAAGGTTTGTGGCGGTTGCTATTCCATTGGGGTGTGTAAACAGGTTGTTTGACAAGACGTTTTGTATTCTTTCCGGGTTTCAAGGAGATGTGATGTTCACTTTATCATGCATGGATAGTTTATCGGCGTGTGGGTGTGATTTTCAAGGTACCATGTTGAATCTTATTTAATGTTGATCCCACTTCAAGTTCAAATTCAGGGGTCACCTATAAAAGGGGTTTCCAGGGTTCTTTATTCGGTTACGCTATCTAAGAATTCCCAAATTACCAAAGAACTCTTTACCCATTCTTCAAGATTCAAACCCTAATCATGGAAAATCTTGCGCATGCTGATGCTCCATCTCAAACTATTGAAGATGTTTCTTCCCAACCCATTATGAAAATTCAAAGCACCAACTATCATGTAGAGGGTGATGTTTCTGTGTACCCTGAAGCACTGCAGATGTTGATCGTAGCTTTAAAACATTTTGTTTTATCTACTGCAATGTTCAACTCATTCGATGTTCCAATATCTTGGCTCTTACTAGTAGGATTGACAACAACTTACAACAAAGCTATGGATGTAATTACATTCAATTTAGTGAATGACAAGAAGGTTCGTCTTACCAAGAAGCTATTTTGTCAAATTCTTGATATTCCTAATTCTCCAGCGTACTGTGTTATTACAAATGCTCAAGTTATCCATATGTTCAACGAGATGGGTCATCACCCCCTACTCACCAAGATAAGCGAGTTCAAGAAGTCAAGTCTTCCTAGTCTTTGGAGTTTTCTATTTGGTATATTTCTCCGATGTCTTACTGGTCAGAGTGTTGGCTTGGATAAAGGGATAATGGAAGTGTATGTAATGGTTTTTGGTATCTACTATGATCTTGTTGTAGATTATTCAAATCAGATGTGGAAAGAATTTCTAAAGTGTCACACCCCAAAACTGGAACGACGGAAACGTTCTGGGGTGGAGGACGTCATGTCAAGTATCACAACATATGCAGTATAGTAATCAAAGTACAACAACCATTGCATTAATAGTAATAATTTTACATAGGTTACATTTAATAACAACATCGAAGTAAATACAGAGAATAACATAAAGTGCAACTCAGTACAAGGCTGTCTTCACAAAAACTCCCGGAGTGTACATGCCTACTAATGACCTGGGAATACAAGTTATTTTGAAAGCGAGTATCAACATTTTAATGCTGGTGAGTTCATAAGTATTTAATGACATTGGTTATAAATACATGTTTTACTTCAAAATAATCTCGGTAGGTGATGGTGACTTGAGTTTACAGAGTATTAGAATCCTTTCCAGAAAATCCTATATTTTCTAATAAAAGTAGTCTTCTACCAAGACCCAATTGTTTTATGTTTAAACCAAGGAGTATCTCTACTAAAAGCAGTATTCTACCAAGACCCAATTGTTTTATGTTTAAACCAAGGAGTATCTCTACTAAAAGCAGTCTTCTACCAAGACCCAATTGTTTTATGTTTAAGGCGTGATTTCCCTAAAAAGTACTATCATTATCAAAATATAGTTTATACTTTAAAGAATATGTGAGAAGATCACAAGCAAAAGTAATACGGAAAATAATATTTTACCTCAACAGTAACACTGCTGGCTGAAAATAAATAAAACATAGACTCCAGGTGGTACTGAATGAACCATATGCCTCGCAAAGTGTAAAGGAATGAAGTACAGACTCCAGATGGTATTAAGTGAACAATACGCCTCGGAGAGTCTAAAAGAATGAAATACAGACTCCAGGAAGTATTAAGTGAACAATACGCCTTGGAGAGTCTAAAAGAATGAAATACAGACTCCAGGAAGTATTAAGTGAACAATACGCCTCGGAGAGTCTAAAAGAATGAAATACAGACTCCAGGAAGTATTAAGTGAACAATACGCCTTGGAGAGTCTAAAAGAATGAAATACAGACTCCAGGAAGTATTAAGGGAACAATACGCCTCGGAGAGTCTAAAATAGTCTTTAATCTTATGTAGATTAGTTTAACGGTTTAAATTGTGGCCTAGTATATAACTAAGAAAATATATCATGATCGTTTCATATATAGAAAATACCGTGATGACACTTATTACCTTAAAGCCATGAATTATAAGGTAACTCTAAACATACTCGTAACCATACTGATTGAAAATCGAATACTTGATGACCTGCTGGTGTTGGAATGAATGTGACATTTGTCACCCCTTGGCTTGGTCGGCTGGGACTGTAGCTAGCAGTCAGGATGTAGGAGTGTCTGTCCCGTATAGATCTATACACACATTGACCGCTCTCCTTCCAGGAGACTCTGGTTACCAACTTGAAAACGGTGGAATCCGTGTCATGAGGATGTATCTCGTGTTTTGATTTCTACAAACCTTTCCTTTTACTAAAAAGTATATGTTTTAGAATATAGATATAACTAAGTTATCCTTCATGAATGTTATGGTTGGTTTTTAAACTATACCTATTATAGTTTACTTGAGAGGTTATCTAGATGCCTTTGCTACCCAAAGGTGATGAATTAAATGATATAACTTTTATGACTATATATGTATCCATGATGTATAACTAATATTGAAATGACCTTCGGACGGATAACCAATACCCTAAAGCCACATCCAAACAAGGAAAAGGAATTAAAGTGAGCTAGCCTTCCTAAGTCCTTCAAACATTACTTATATAACTATACATATATAGGCATGCATTTGACAATATAAAAGTATAAAAGAAGTTTTGGTAAAATCTTTGAAAAAGCGTTATTAATCTAAAAAGGGATTTTTATACTTTAAAAGAGATTTGAAAACCTTTAACTGGATAAAATAGTTTAACATGCAAACATCTATTTTCTATACAGTTATTAATCATGTGTGATTGATATAATAACTTTATAGTTCAACTTGTCCCCCCCCCCCATCAAAGCATTTAAAATCATCTAAAAAGGTGGATTTAGGGGTATGAACTCACCTGTCGTGGGGTGATTCGGATGAATGAATGGTATAGGATGCTATGTGTCAAGTGAGGACTTGAACACACACTCGGATCCTATTGAACATGCAATGATACATTTATATATCTAATTAGTCATTTAATAACTAATTAAGTAAGTTAAGACACCCTAATACATGGAAACACTTTGCTACAAGTGCTAGGAGTACTAAGGGTTGCATATAAAGAGAGTATGGCCTCACTTTGGAGTTTACTCCCATGGTAAACCCATATTGGTTTACAGTTCTGGGACCATTTCCCCCATGAGTTTACGGCCGTACACTCATGGCAATGGTTTCATTGGGTGTTCAAAGGTCTTAAACCACTCAAGGAATTAAGCTAGAATCAAATCAAGGGCTAAGGAAGTGACTAGGGCTCAAAATGACCCTTCTTTGGAGTTTACGGTCCTTGGACCACTCTGTGGGAGTTTACGGTCGTAAACACATGGGTTTACGGCCGTAAACTTATGTTTGCCCATTCCTTTCATGTTTTGGTGTTTCTATCTTATGCATGAAAGGTTCTAGTCACTTGTACAAGCCATATAAGGTGTTAAGGGCACTTAAACACCATCGGAAGGTGTTTACGGTTTTGGGAGATCTCCTCAAACCGTAAACACATGTTTTCTTGGGTATCTTGATGTTCTTCAAGGGTTTAACATGTATTCTAAGTGAATAACTTGATAGGAGGAGTGTACTCACTTATAGGAAGCTTGAAAGAGTGTTTGGAGCCCAAGAACACTAGTGTGTGTTCTTGGTGTTCTTGATGAACACTTGAAGATCTAAGAAAAGAGGAGATTTCCATGGATGAAATCGAGTATAAACACTAGATAAAGTGTTATATGAACGAATCTAGGAAGAAAACACTTACATTTTGGCGGATTTGACGAAAATGTGATATGATACTTGAGAGAGAATTCTTGGTGTTCTTGAACTAGGAAGTGAAAAATAAGCTAAATAAGACTAAGTGTCATATTTATACTCTTTGGGGTTTACGGCCGTAAACTCCATGTTTACGACCGTAAACTCCAAACTTTTGGAGTTTCGCAGCTTACGTGATACACGACAAACTCTAAAGTATACCTCCTTTTATTTGTCCGCTTGACGAATATAAAATAAAATACTCAAACGGACTTAAAACCGGCCAAAAATGTTTTGAGATGAATTTGGCTAATTTTTGGATGTTCTTGACTGCGGAGTTTATACAAATGAAAATTTTAGGTTGTCACATAAAGAGTGTGGAGAATACTAATGTTGTTCAAGGGGTTTCATGTGCAAGGTACTGGAGCTTAACTCTTTGATATATGTATATAAAAGAAGGAACTTTGGTGCCTTCTGATGAATCAAAAGTTGAGTTTTTGAAGTATAATTATCCAAAGGCGATTGAGGATGACAAGGTGATATTTCCTAATGTTGCACCAATTCCAGATGCAATGCTCAAGCGTGTTGATCCAACGAATCCGGTGTTAATGGAGTATCTGGTATTGATTAATCCGAATGAAAAAATAGGTGTATTGTTGGCTAACATAGATGAAGGTTCTTCAAAGAAATCTCAAAGATCAAAGAAGGATGATAAGTCTACTCTTGAGATAAATGTGCAAGACCAAACAGTTACGAAATCTTCAAAGAAACAATCTAAGGTGGTTGTGACAGTTTCAACAACTGTTACTAAGCTTGTTGATCCTGAAGTAGTTGAACCACTTACAGAAACCATTCCTTCGAAATCTGGTATTCTCAAACGAATCAAGCAGAAATCTCATCGTTCATGAAAGTCTCCAGAAAGGTCTTCAAGTTTGTCTCCATCTTTCACTCAAAATCCTCATGTCACTCGCAAAGGGGTTGTTATTCATGAAGTTCAAGCCCCAGTTTCTCCTTCTTCCAAGAAACGAAGGGCTGAAGATATTGCAAAACATATTTCCAAGAAAATTAAAAAGCTAAAGTTGGTTATTCAAAAGGTACACTCAGAAGAAGAAGAATTTCCCAAAACTCCCGAAGCAATTCTTTCAATGCAAAATTCGACTCCTAAGCAGACTCCAGTCATACCACCCGAGGTTTCGTTAACCAATCATATACTGAGGAGGTTCGAACCTCATACATTATTACACATGTATCTGATACGGATGTAAATGTCACTATGGGCGAAGGAGATTCGGATAAAGAACCTCCCATGATAACTCAAGGTATTATTGAAACTTCTAACATCAATACCCTTGTTTCATTACCACCATTTAGCATTCCTACAATTCTAATTTCATCTTCACCAACTTTTGATCAAACCATTAATCAACCCATCACTTCTTTATTCTCTTCACAATCCACTGATCCACCCAAATCTATCGATGATACTGAGACTGATGATGGAGGGGTTTGGAGGATCTTTTGGTGATATTGAATTTTGATCCCGAAGAAGAAGATATTCCAGATCATATGTTAATGTCAGGGAAGCAATTCAAGATTCTAAGCAAGAAGCTCAATTCTATTCTTAAATCTCAAGCAGATGCAGGGGGTAGGAATTTTGTTTCAAGTATCGAAGTTGATGTGATACTCAAAGCACAAGAAGCTCGATTATTCAACAAACTATCTAGCATGATTCAAGAGTTTGAATCTTGAGTTCACGAAAAGGTGAATGTTAATGATAAAAATAATGAGTTACGAGTAAAGTTGCAATCTTCAACTTTCAATGAGGATATCAAGGATCTTCAACGTGTTGCCAAAGAACGTCATGTTATTTTCATTCAAGATCTTAAAAAGGTTCGGAGGATGTGAATTTTAAACTTCAAGAAATTCGAGAAGATATGTCTAAAGAGATTGCTATTTTGCAACAAGATTATGCATCTCTCAATCAGAAAATGGACATCATTACAGATACAGTGACAAAATTTGTCAAATTATATGAAGCTCTGGGTCCTCAGATTGCTCACATGTCTACACATGAAGCTCAAAGATTGTCTGAAATTACCAATATGTTGAATGAATTGAAAGCACTTGTCTTGAAGCCTGGATCCTCTCCTTTGATCACACCAGAATTCTTGTCTCAAAAATTCCTCTTGTTTGAATCAGTTCTTCACAAACAGTTAGCACCATTGTCTGAAATTGTAAGACTCCTACCAACGAATGCCCTGCTTGTTGTTACAGGGGTGCAAGGGGGAGAACAGGTAAAGGTTGGTAAAGGAGAAGGTGCATCTGGTGTATTAAATGAAGAAGCAAAGGTTATTGGCAAGGTGTACACAACTCACATTCCGACATCAAAACCATCTGTGTCGAAAGCTGAGCCAGTAATTTCAACTGTTGTTACTACTAGGCCAATTACCAAAGGTATTGTAATTGGTTCATCTGGTGAAGAGGGAATTGTTTGAAACCAAAGGAAACTCTAATAAATCAAGATAGAGGAAAGAAGGTTATTATTGAAAAATCTAAAGAAGAAAGGAAGGCAGAGGTTGATGCTGAGATGGATAAACAGTGGCATATTCAAAGCATTCTGAGGCTTCGACAAAATGATCCTCCTCATTTGAATAAGGAAGATCCAATAAAGTTGTATAAATATGAGAGTATCGAAGCTAGGGTGGCATATAATGAAATTTATGAATTCGAAAAGAATCCCAGAAAGAGTTATGACATTGAAAATTCATATTTGAATCAACTTGATTTTCCCATTAATGAAATGTTGTTTCTTACTGCATAGTATAAAGTGGTTGGTAGATTCAAGAAAAAGGAGGATTTTATATACATGAAATTAAGGTTTCATACTATCTTGGGAAAGGAACAAAATGAAATTTGGTCCTTAGTAAAAATAGTTCAAGTGCAAAGCATATCAAAAGGTGAACTTTTCGAAAATATGTTACAAAATTTTCGATATCATGTAGTGAGAGAAAACAAGGTTCCTTTTGAGTTTTCAATTGATGATTTCCCTTTAATGAACTTGAATGATTTGATTCAAGTTGCATACATACTCAAAGACATTGATGATTCGAAACTTCAAAATACCAGCAAAGAAGTGTTACATTTGGGGTTTGGTCACATCAAACTGTTCATAATCGATTATTATGATTGTCTAGCATTGACTGATGTTGAATTGGCAGCTTCAGTAGGAAAAGAAGTAATTGTTCCTCTAGAGAAGTCTTTAATTGAAGCTCAATTGAAGAAATATGTTGATGGTGAAATATGTTTGAAGCCATTTGGTTTGGTTTTTGCTAGGAAAAGTAAGAAGGGAAAGTCATCGAATTTCTTTTCCCAAACAAGTGAATTGAGAGATATACAACTACTCACTATACAAACTTAATTGTGCATATGAATAATTGTAAGACGAACAACGAAGGAGATAAAGCTGAGATGAAGAAAGTAACAAGTTGGTATGCTGAGATTCGAAGAACATTACACATGGCTGCTCAAATTTTGATCAACTGATTTCGACATTGCTTACAAAGGGGGAGATTGTTACGGTCGAAGTTGTGTTGTAGGATGTCGAAATGTTATGTTATTTTACAAATGCATTTTATGTCGTAACTGAATTTCTAATCCTTTGTATTTTTTTTATGCTTTAATGTTTTCCTATAAATACGGAAGTTACTTAGAGTTAGATAAGGACTTTGAAGTCAATCTTGTCTATTTTTCTCTCTGTAACCTTGAAGCATAATATGAGCTAAAACATGATCTTATTTACTCTCTATGTTCATAATTCTCTTGACTCTGATTTAGTTCTCATTTCTTGATTTGATACTTCATCAGTAAGTTTTATCTTTGGTTTAAATCTATATTATTGTTGGTATATATCTTCAAGAATTGTTTTATGTCGTTTGCATGCCATGAATCATTAGTGGGTTATTGAGGGGTTGTATCTCGTGTAGTGGGTTCCAATGTGTTCGGTTGTTATTTTGGGTTTGATCTAGATCAGTTCAGGGGTATTGTGTAGAAGGTCTATGGCCAGGATTCAGCAGGTTAGTTCTCTAGTAATCATCAGGGTTCATTGGTTTTCTGGTAGGAGCATTGGTTGCCTATGGAAGAACTTTTAGGTTCAAACACTCTTGTTTCTAGGAAGGGAGTAGTAGCAGGAAGATGGTAGTGTCAGTTGCATGAGTTGTTTGGTCATCGGAAGTGTCAAAGGAGTTTTATACTTGTATGGGTTGTAGTCAGTTAGAATTCAATGATTCTTTAAGATTGGAAGTTGGGATAAATATTTTTATGTTCAGGGTAAGGTTTATAATTTTAACCACCAACATAAGAACTCAGGAATTGGTATCACAAGAGGTGATTTGGAATATCAGACTAGTTAAGGTTTCAAGATTATTGTTCAGGGTTTCAGGAGTTGGGTGATCATGGAGTTGGCAAGTAATGGAACGTTACTATTGATTAACACAGGTGATAGGAGGTTCGTGCTATATGAGGTTGATGAGTTGGGAAATCCATCAGGATTTAAGAGATGAAAGATCTTTATCGAATCCAAGTGGGAAAGAATCGATCAAGACTTCCGGGAATTAGGAATTTAAGAGTGTGGAACTAGGGCAAAATTCACATCCTATCCAAGAGGAGAGATGACCCAAGTGGCCGTTTAGATTGAGGTGGTGTAATTTGGAATTCAAGAAACTTTAACCATTGGTTGGAGTCTCCTTTATCATGCATAGCATGCTTGTTTTGTTGAGTCCAGGTTAAGGGATTTGGAATTCAAAGTATGTCCCGAACATCTGACGGGATGCAGTTGGATGCATGTGTCGGATCAAGATATGTGGGGTTGTGATGGTTAGGGTGTGGTAAGGCCACAGGTGGTAACCATGGTTGGTTATAAGTGTTTTAAGACTGCGATAGGATCATAGCATTTACCAGTTTAAGGTAGACTATTATTGGAGGTGGTCATGAGTGCAAAGGGGAAATCAGTTCGTGCATTGTGCACACGGGTTAGGACTGTCGAGGGGTATTTCTTTGTTCTAGATTGAGAACCATTGGGGTCTGAGGCAGATTCAGGCCCATGTAGCCCTTGTTGGGTGGAACCCGTGGGTGAGGCCCGTGTGATTATGGAAACACATGTAGGATCTGGTGGAGACTGTTGGATCAAGGTATTGGATCTTGAGTTACAGGATTAAGTGGGTTTTGGTGTGTGGCGCAGAGGGGTTTATTGGTTGGGTAGCATCGCTATTTAGACTCTTAGGGAACTTGGTGGTTGGACCAGGTGCGAGACTGGTAGCCCCATCGATGGTTTGGGAGCCTTTATATCTCCGTCTAGTGAGGGGGTGTCATGAATCATAAGGTTTTTAGTGAAATGAAAGCGTAGATTCGTGGATATCGTGTAACATACACGTTCAGTTATCATGTTGAAATTTTAAAAGTGAATAATACAATGAAATATTATATGAATTTGAGCGTTGAGTTCTAACAAGATAGTTTTTACTTTAATTCTAGTAAAAACTATCTTGTTAGAACTCAACACTCAAATTCATATAATATTTCATTATATTATTCACTTTTAAAATTTCATAACATGATAACTGAACGTGTATGTTACAAATACCTCCTCTTTTTGAGGATTTCGTCCTCGAAATCACAATGATTTAAACAATTGGGGATAATTTGCTCTTATCTCTTTCTTATTTTTTCCAAATATACTGCCAAATTTTTTGGTAATTCCAAGCGGTATGCTTGCTTACCAATTCTCTGGATGATTTTGAAAGGTCCAACAAATCTGGGACTCAACTTTCCTTTCATCCCAAATCGCATAACGCCTTTCCTTGGGGATACCTTCAATATTACAAAATCACCCACCTGGAATTCTATGGGTCATTTCCTCCTTTCTGCACAGGACCCCTGTCGATCCTGGGCCACTTTCATTCTTTTTCGTATAATTTGAATCTTGTCAGTGTTGTCTTGAGTTAATTCAGGGCCACTAATGACTTTCAGTCCTACATCGTACCAACATAATGGAGTATGAAATTTACGCCCATATAGTGCTTCATATACCTTCAGTATATATTTTCTACTGTTTGGATTGTTCTCTTCTTCTGACTATCTGTCTGGGGATGATAAGATGTGCTAAGAGCAACATGAGATCCCAATTCATGTTGCATACCTGCCCAAAAAAGAGAAGTGAAGCGAGTATTACGATCAGAAATAATCTTCAGTGGTACACATCATTTATAGTTTTCTTCTCCTCATTGAGATATCAACTGTATTGTACAGATAGATAGAATATCCCTTCAATATAAATTTACGAGTTTTTATGAAAGAAATTATCTTTAATATTTTTAAGTCTTTGTTCACTGTAAACATAAATAGGATCCTTCCCTTTGATAGGGTTGCGTACCATCTTTTCATAACATCAGAGTTCTGTGTGGTTCTTTAACAACCAATCCATACTAAGAATAATATCAAAGTAAGGTAAGGATATAGGAATCAGATTGGCAAGAAACTTATAGCCTTTAATTTCTATGACACAATCTTTATAGATTTCATCAGCAAAAAATGATATACTTCCCGCAGTATCTACATGAAATGTGTGCGTGAGTGCATAGCAATCAATTAGAAAAGAATGCCCAAATTCACGAGACACAAAAGAATCTGAGGCACCAGAATTAGATAATATGTGAGCAGGTCTAGAGTTGACAATAAATGTACCTGCCACAGCATTAGGGTCCTCGCAAGCCTCCTCTGTGGTAATTTGGATTGCACAACCTTTAGCTTTTGGTACCTCCTCCTTTTTAGTTGAAGTACCCCTCGGTTGTTGAACGAAAGCTTGACTTCCTGTTGTTTGGTTAATAAGAATAGGACAGAAATGTTTCCTATGGCCAATAACATCACAAGCATAGCATGTAACATTCTTCCTCAGGCAAACGGGCTTTACGTGACCCATTTCTCCGCATCCATAGAAAATTACTGGTCTTTTTCTATTCTTCATTGATCTTGGTGACTCTACCCACATTTCCGACATGATGGTGACTGAAGAGGAAAAGATTGTGACCGACCGCGGTCACAAAAGTATTATGAGATAGTACTTATCTGCTAGTATCAGATCAAGCTAATAAAATAGAAGAAACAGACGCAGTTTTATCAACACATGAATGCTTCTGAACAGAAGAGTGGCACCATGTATCTCCAACTCGTGATTACGCTTTCGAGCATACTCAACAACTTTTTCGAATGATAGAATATTTCGATTAATGATATGTGTAACGCCCGGGTTTTCAGGGCTAAGCATTTTGTCAATGTAATAGTCTAGGTCAACTATTGTAACTCTTTTTGAAGTAATAAATATGAAATATTTGAGTATTATGTGAATTATGTGTTTATGTGTTTATTATTTAATTATTAACAAAGAATAAAAATGAGCGTCAAAATTAAAGTGTGAGTTAATCTCGATATCTCTACATAAAGTTGTAGAATATGTCTCGAGGTTTCCGTACATAAAAAAAATGCCGAAATCCGAGCTATAACGAAGAAGTTATGGCCCGCCGAAGTTTTACGGCAAAACCGGCACGGCACCGGAAGACATAAAATAGTAAATTTACGATAAAAGACTTTTAGCCTTAGAAATCTAAAAAAAAGTTGTAGAATATGTTAAACTAAGAACATCGATAAAAAGAACGCCCAAATCCGACTTCGTATGAAGAAGTTACGCCTTTTCGAAGTTTCGGACTAGCAATGTACTGCTCGAAATTCGAATGTTTGATCGAGCGGTTCTTAGCCGACACGACCTGAACAAGAATCGAAGATCTCGTTGAGAGTAGCGTAACAAGAAAAAGATGGGCAAAAACGGATGTCGGATGAAGAAGTTATGAGGATTTAACGGATCAATCGTGTCCCGGCCCATTAATAATATAAAATTTAAAATCGAGCCAAAATTAGCCGACGAAGTCTAAACGAAAGTTGTAGAGTACGTTCCCACCTTCGAGTGAATATAAAGAACGTCAAAAACGGAGCTCGTATGCGAAAGTTACGAATTTTTGAAGTTTGAACTCGAAAATGCGAAGCCTGATGCGAATTCGGGTGACGTGGCGTGATCAGAGCCGTCACTTGCGGCCCACGGTCTCGCTCGGATGAGCGACGCGTCGCTCCTCGCTACGCCCCGCGTCCGTTCGCTCTCGGTCCAGAAGGTGCCACGCCGCTTCGCCCTACGCCCCGCGTACGAGTTCCGGGTACGCCCCGCGTACCTTCGCTTCCCCTCCGCCCGGTGCGAGACAGCTGGCTGCGAGCTGGCACCCTTATCCGCGAGAACGCGCCGCGTAGTCTCGGATCTACGCCCCGCGTAGCGAGGGCCTCGCGCCTATAAAAGGAGGCCGAGGTTGCCTCATTTTTCACACCAAAATCTCATTCTTTCTCTCACTACTTTCTCTCTCTACAACCCCAAACCACCCCTAAGCCCTAGTTAACCCCTAGCACCCTAAGGAAGCCCCGAGGCTCCCGGAGTCCCGAGAAAAAGGAGTTTTTCGGTTTCGAAACGCTGCTCCAATAGAGTCCCGGTTTTCGATAAAATTCGCTGTAAGTATGCTACGCTTACGCAATTTTTTAATATAGCTTCCAAATAATTATAGGAATGTATTAGGTCCTTAAAATAATTATTTGGGCTATTATTATGAGTTATATTGAGCATTATTAACGCTTAATAGTCAGACTAATCACGGTTATCATTAAACTAAACCCTAGTGATATCGATACTAGGTTTTATCGAAGGAATATCATTTTAAGAGTATCGAAGCGCTGTCCGAGTGCTGAGTCACCACCTAATCAGGTGAGTGCATATTACTTTCAACTTACACATAGATATGAAGTATTTAATATAAATTACGTGCTATGTGTGCATATTATCTGAATACTTGCTATCTATGCTGGATGAACGTTTTATACATGTTTTCAAAGATTTAAACTGTATATGTATTTTATATCTACAAAATGTGTTGGGTAAAACATGGGTAGATGTAATAGTTGCTGTGTGACAAAATAAAATAATGAGAGGCCTCGTTATAGATGTTATTGATGATCCAGTCATCTAGCGGAGTATAGATGACGACCACGGACTATTCTAGACAGTCCAGTGGAACACTAGCAGGCTCGCAACCTGTAGGTGTTTATTTGAACTGTGTGTTTATTTGAACTGTGTGCTCACCAGATGTACTCCATCCCCCACATGGTTGCCTATTAGGACATTATATTGCTGAGGAATCCCCTTAGCAGTAGTGTCCATCCCGATGATGATCCTTAGGCTAGGTCCCTTATGATAGGTGTTTAGGGACGTAAAGTGAGGATAACGGGAACGGGTAATCGGGTTATTGTTGATTGATGAACTTAATAAACTTATTTATTGTGGGTTGAAAACCCTATGTGCTCACCAGGCTCCCAAGCCTGACCCACTCAGTTTTATGTATTACAGGTAGTGGCGCATGAGCATAGGTGTGATGTTTTGGACGAGGGATTACGGATATAGGCCTGTAGATATGAAATAATGTAGTAAGGCTTATATTGTACTGTTTATACTTTTGATCTGTACGAACATGACA